ACAGTATGGTTTTGCTTGGTTGGGTCATTTTTCAGTTGTGTCTGATTCTTTCTGACCCCATTTGGGATTTTCTTGGCCCAGATACTGCAGTGGTTTGCCATGTCCTTTTCTAGCTCATTTGACAGATGAGGAACTGAGGCAATGAGGGTTAAGTGACTTGCCCAGGGTCACACAGCTAACAAGTGTCTGAAGCCAGACTTGAACTCAGGAAGGTGAGTCTTCCTGACTCCAGGAAGGCTTCTCTCCATTGTGCCACCTAGTTGCCAGTGGTTGTGCTACCTTATCCCCATGGGCTCCCTCTGATGCATATGTGAGTATTGCCAGATTAGGTGGTTTACTGAGAGGACATCTGGGAGAGCTCTGCAGTGTCTTTGGTGCTGAAGTGATATTTTTTATATCTTTTAATATCTCATCTAACCTAAGCTGTTGTGTAAATCCTTGAAAACTCATTTCAGCAACAGATCAAACTGGGATAAGGACTGCTCACATTAGAGAGACAGTAGGATGTAGACAGGCATTCCACAAAAGAATTCAAGTCAGACCAATAAGTGGCTGTTGAATGTTCATGAGATATAATGGGATAATTTTTGGAAATGACTTTTCTTTTGGCATTTAAAAAAGAAACTTAGCCCTCATCCTTCTAGTCTTAGAACATCTAGAGGGATGAGGGTACACTAGAGAGATAAGAGGATAAGAGGCAGTAGAATCTAATGGCTACCCCATTCTGTTATGGGAAAATCTGGGTTCATATCCTCCCTGACTAGCTGTGGACACTTGCTAGCTTTGTGACCTCAGACAACTCCCATCAGCATTCTAAGGTTCAGTTTTTTCCTCTTTAAATTGAGAAGGTTCAACTAGTTGACCTTTGAGGTCCCTTCCAACTCTATCTCTCAGATCCTAAGTGAGATTTGGGGCAAGTCCCTTGACCACCCCGAGTTTCATCTTCCTCTGTAGCAGAAGGGGATTAGACTAGTTGGACTCTGAGGGTGCTTTGAGCTGGAGATTTAAGCCTGTGATCCCTTGGACCCATTTGGTGGCTTGAGGTAAGGACTGGGTGAAGAGGGAATGGGTAAAGAACACACATAAGAGACTTGAAGGAAAGAGCTTGTTCAGCATGGAGGCCATGGTCTAATGTCAAGAATAGGGGGATATGGAGTTAGAGGAGCCAGACTGGAGTCCTAGCTCTACTACCGCTACAAGGACTACATCTAGAGTCTCCCTCAATGTCTGATTTTTGTGTACTCCAAGGTTAATTTTTCTTTTACACTATGCTTGGGCTTCCCTGATTTGATACTGATAACATCTTGGCCAAAATTAACTACTTAACAAATATCCTTCATGGCTCATACCAGCCATTTTCTTGCACATATTTCCTCCAAGTTTTCTCCTTGTCAGTGGGCTACATTAACACCCTACCTGGTTCATGGCTTCTGGCTTGGTTGTTGGCCCATTTCCTTGCACTCACCTGCTTGGTGATCCTCTGACATGGCTGCCTCTCTCTCATCCAAGTAGAAGGGCATGGTCATTGGTCTGAGAGACAGCCTTTGGGCTGACCCTCCACCACCTACCGCTTGTATTTATTGAGGGGGCTGAGTCACCTGAGGTCTCCATGCTCTAGGAAAGTTTTTGAGAGTACAAATTGCAGACAGACAAGGTTTCAGTGGAGAGATTTTCCTTCTCTGGGGGTCCTCCACAATCCTCAGGTGTCCTGTCCCTATCCCTGCAGCTGTCTGATGAAGATACTTTCTTCTCAGCCTCCAGAGGCTCCTGGCTAGATGCCTGGCCCCCCTTAGGCACTCTGGGTCCTGTGGGTGATGATCCTCTTGAATCAGAGAGCATCCTGGACCCTGGGAGAATTCCCAACCTTCTGCCTCAACTCTCCTTCTTCATTGGAGGGGAGAGCAGCCCAACAATGATTGCTGCTAGTTTTCTCCAACCCAGGCAGGGTCAGAGACAGACATGCTTGCATGCATGGGTGCCCCCGTGGCTCTCCCAGCCCATGGCCTGATTTTGTCTCCTCCTGCCTGGAGAAAGGAGGTTGAGACCCACATTTGTCCCAGACCATCCCTTTCCTCCTCTGCTCTACAGGTTGTCAGTAAGTTCCATCAAGGGGTTGGTGGTCTGCTGCTGCTGCTGCTGCAGCTACTGTTTTCCCTTATGTGGAGCCCAGGATGCCCTACCCCCCCCCACCATCCCTGCCCTCCCCCTCTCAATTTTCCATAAAGGGGCTGACCCACCCCCCCCACAACCCCAAGCTGAGCTCAGCTGCCCCACCACATCCCTCCCAGTCCCCAGCAACTGCCCTCAGGAACCTGGGACCTGGCTCAGCCCTGGGCCCTCCAAGCACTGTGGCCCCCTCCCCTCCCCTCCCCAGGCTGGGCGATGGGAGTTGAGAGAAATGACTGGGAGGGGCCTCCCCACTCCTCTGTGGGTGCCATCATAACCCCCTCCCCTCTTTTCTCCCTCCTCCCTGTGCTCTGGATGGAGACTAGCCCTGCCCTACCATGATGTCACTGTACCCGCCCCTCTCACCCTTGACCAAGTCAATCTTCTTTGTCTCTGGAGGAGGAAGAGGAGGAGGAGAAAGAGGATGAGAAGGATGGTAAAGTGGAGGAGGAGGAGGAGTGAGTTTCCTTTTCCTCTAAGTCTGGAGGGAGGGCCATGAGCAGCCCAGCCCTAACCTGCTCCCCTCCTCCTCTGCCACAACACCCCTCCCTCACCCAGGGAACCCAGAAGTTCCTACACTTTCCTAAGTGGGTGTGTATAAGGTAAGCCCCCTTTTCTGCCCCTGCCCCTCCTGTCCCTCTACATCCCTCCCCTTATATTTTCTTCTGTTTCCTCTTTAGTCTTTGTTTCAACTTCCCCCCCATCCCAAATTGGCTTGTCTTAGTACCTGGGGCATGTGTGTGCTTGGAATAAAACCTTTTTTATGTGTGTATTGTGTGTTTAGGACTATAGAATCACGTGTGTACATGTGTGTACCTGTGCGTGCCTGCTCCTCCAGAGCTGCTTCTGCCTGGCGCATCCTGCCTGCCCAGGTCTTTGTCTGAAGGTCTGGGCCTTGGAGGGCCATGGGATGGGGTGGGGTGGAAGCATCAGGGAGAAGACTTTGAGGGCACTCCCTCCCTGCCCTCCTCAGGTGGACTTTCCCAACCTTTCTTCTTCCTCGCATCCTTGGCTTGGCCTGGGGACTGGGGAGAGAGGAGAAAGTCTAAGAAGGATCCTCCTGCTTGCCTTCCTCATCCTCAGAGAGAGGAGGGTGAATCTTTCCCAGGGATGGCTGGATAAATCTTTTCTGGGAGAAGTGACTTGGTCCTACATGCAGGCAAATCCTTGATGTACTCTTTAATGGAGCAGTACAATTCTGATTATCATTCTGGAGGGCACAAATCTTCTCTTCCGCCCTTTCCCCATTCTTTTTAATTCCATTTAAAGTTTCCTTAAAGAAGTCCAAGTTACAAGAGACTTCTGTCTGCTGGTTTTGAGTAGCCATTTAGTAAACGTATCCCACTCAGGATATTTAATTTTCTTGCCAACTTCATCACAACATTTCTTAAGGTGATTTATTTTATCGAGATCAAAAGAACTTCAAGTTGGTTAATGGTGACAGGGTTGTCTTGGGTCAATTTCTGCCAATTAGTTAAATACCTACAGGTTTGGGCCCATAATATAGAGATAAACAACCAGCTGGTCTCCCCTTATGTGTGGGGGGGTAGAGTGAGGTGCCTTCAGTGTCTTAGGAAGTTTGGTTGCCCATGGGAACTTGACCAAGGTCTTACTTTATTCCAGAATTTTTTTTTTTTTTGCAAAGTAATGTGGACTACCTGAATTAAAAACTGGGGCTTTTGAAAATCAGTTCCTGACTAAACGGTACAACCTGGGATGTGTGGGTCCCAAGCTGCAGGTTGTCACTGTTCTCTGCTGGCTTCCCCTCCAGTGGGGTGCCAGCCCTGTGGTGCCCAAGGCTGGGTCTCCCCCTGTGGCCAGATTCCTCTGAGACAGTGTAGGACTCTTCCCCTCCCCTTTTCCGTATCATCTCTTTTGTTTGATGTTGTTTAATTTAATGGTATATTTATTTTTTGTTCTGGTTTCAAGCAGCACCTAGTGAAAGGGGCATTTCCATGTACCTTGTTGTGGAACAGAAAGAGGAGACTTTCTCTGATACTTTTTAACATTCACTTCTCTCATTATGAGGGATTTGGAACATTTTGTCATAAAGCTGTTCATAGTTTGGATTTCTTCCTTTGGAAACCTCCTCTTCCTTTGACCTATTGGAGCATGGCTCTTAATCTTAGAAATTGGAATCAGTTCCTTTTAAATCTTGCATATGCAACAGTCCTTATAGAACTTTGCTGCAAAGATGTTTTTCCTCATTTAAATATTACTGTTCCCATTTTCACAGCATTTGATCTCTTTGTGCAAAAACATTTCGACTTTATAGAAGTAGAATTCTTCTATTTTATTTTCTGTGATTCTCTGTTGCTTCTTCTGTCATAACCTCTTCTCCTATCCATAGATATGAAAAGTAATTTCCTCCTTGTTCCTCTAATTTGCTGCCGACTCCCCTCTTATGTCTAATTCATGCATCCATTTGTAGTTTAATTTGAAAAGTGCTGTGAGGTGTTGATGTCCTGTTGCATTTCTGGCAAACTGCTTTTCCCTTATCCCATCGTTTGTTTTTTTTTTTTTTATCAAATAGTCTCCCTTCTCCCCACCCACCCAATTGCTATCTTTGAATTTTTTAAACTCTAATTTATTTTATTTGTTTGCTTCTGTACATTGCATAACTAATCTTTCCCACTGATCAACCTCCCACATTTTAACAAGTTTCCATTGTCTTCCAGGCAGCTGGGTGTCCCAATGGGCCTGAAGTCAGGAAGAATCATCTCCTTGAGTTCAAACCTGGCCTCCGACACTTACCAGCTGTGTGATCTTCAGCAAGTCACTTCACTCTCTTTGCCTCAGTTCCTCACCTGTCAAATGAACTTCAGAAGGAAATGGCAGACCATTCCAGTACCTTTGCCAAGAAAACCCCAAATGTGGGCAGGAAGAGTCAGACGGGACTAAACAAGAACAACAATTGTTTTCAGAATCCCTGATTTGTAGTATAGATTGGATCTGCTACTGATAATCACTAACCCAAAGCCCTTTTTCTTCCTTCCCCACCTCCATTATTACCCCTGAGATACTTGACCTCCTTTTAAACTTTTTCATTGTTTTCTGTTTCTTACATCACCAGGGTATCCCATGTATCCCTCCCTCTCCCCATCCTCAAGAGCCATGTCATGTGATAAAGAGTTTTTTTCTTTTAGGGAGGAAAAGAAAAATGAGCACAACTGATTGGTGCAGGTGGAAAAGGTGTGCAATGTATAACACCTGTGGACCTCTTAAGTCCTGGCTGAGGTAGGGTGATGGTGTTTTCTCATGTTTCCTTTTCATTCTCACTTGATCTTTAACATTTCAGTTAATTTTTTGTGTCTCATTCTTTCCATGTCAGTTGTTGTAGTTACTGTGTGTATGTACTATTTTGTTTTTTCTTTTTTTTACTCTGCTTAATTCACTTTGCATCAGTTCACAAAGATCTTTCTGTAGTTCTCTGTACTCATCGCACACATCATTTCTTGCAGCCTGGTAGTAGTATTCCATGATGTTCACCATGTTTCACACTTTGTTTAGCAGTTCCCCAGGTGATAAGCATCTACCCACATGTGGCACAGTAGGGGCAGACCTGCTGCCTCCCTTGGTGACCCCTGTCCCTCCCTGCCTGTCCTGATCTTTGTCTCCTCCTGCCTAGAGAAAGGAGGCTGAGCCCTGCCCCTTCCTCACACCAGCCCTTTCTTCCTCTGCTCTGGAGGTTGTGAGGAATCCAAGTCCCATTCAAGGGCTACTGGTTTGCGGATGCTGCTGCAGCTACTGTGCTCCTCCCTTTTGTGGAGCCCAGGACAGCCCTCCCTCACCCTCCCCTTACTCTCTTTCTCTTCCCCCTCCCAGTTTCTGTAAAGGGGCCTACCCTCAACAACCCCAAGCTGAGCTCAGCTGCTGCCCCCCACCCCTCCCAGCCCCAGCAGCCTGCCCTCAGGAACCTGGGACCCTGGCCAGCCCCAGGACCACTTCCAGGTCGAGGATGCAGCTGCAACCCCCTTTTGTAGCCAATTTGGGTGATGGGGACAGAGAGAAATGACTAGGCTGGGGAGCGGCTCCCCAGTGCTCTGGGCCTGATGTTAGAGACCTCCTCCCCTCCCCCTGCTCTTCTAGGACACTAGTCCTACCTTGCAGTGATGTCACAATGCCACCCCCTCTGACCCTCTATTAAGTGTAAGTCTTCTTTGACTCTGGAGGAGGCTGTGAGTGGGGCGAGCAGTTTGAGATCTGCATATCCCCCCTCACCCACTTCTCCTCCCCTTCCACTCCACACCCACCCCTCCCCTCCACTACCCCCATCTTCCCTCCATCTTCCAGATTGACCTATCCTGAGGGTCCTGCTAGTGCCTATGTGGTTGTGAGTGAAGTAAGTGCCCCCTTCCTGCTCCTGCCTCAGCCCCTCACTTTCTTCTTCTCTTCTCTTCCCTTCCCCCTAGCCTTTTCATGAAGCTGACCCTCTACCATCCCCAATTAGTGCCCAGAAGATGTATGTAAGTGTGGGTATATCAGTACTTTTGTTTATGCCTGTGTTGTGTCTGTCGATAGGAACATGTGTGTGTGTGTATGTAAGAGACAGTCCGTGTGTGTGTGTGTGTGGATGTATGTATGTATGGCTATGTTCAGGAGTGATCCTGTGTGTGCCTTCTCCTCCAGGGATGCTCCTGCCTAGGGCTTCCTGCCTGCCCATGCCTTAGTCTGGAGGTCTGGGGCTTGGGGGAATCATGAGATTGGGTGGGATACAGTGGAGTTGAAATTGTTTTCTGGGCAGCTAGGTATTCTATGGGGCCTGAAGTCAGGCAGAATCATCTTCTTGAGTTCAAATCTGGCCTCAGACATTTAGTAGCTATGTGACTCTGGGCAAGTCACTTTACCCTGTTTCCCTCAGTTCCTCATCTGTCAAATGAGCTTTAGAAGGAAATGGCAAACTACTCCAGTATCTCTGCCAAGAAAACCCCAAATGTGGGCAGGAAAAGTCAGACAGGACTAAACAATAACAAGAATTGTTTGCGTAATCACAGATTTGTAACATCTTTGGATCTGCTACTGATAATCACTAACCCAAACCCCTTCCTTTCCTCCTTCCCCAACTCCATTATCACCCTTGAGTTACTTGACTCCTGTTTTATTGGTGTTTTCTGTTTCTGCCATCACCAGGGTATCCCATGTATCTCTCCCTCCCCTCATCCTCAAGAGCCATGCCATGTGACCAATCATATTTCTTGTTTTAGGAAGGAAAAGAAAAGTGAGCACAACTGATCAATGCATTTGGGCAAACGTGTGCAATGTGTAACACCTGAGGACCTCTCACTTCCTGAATGGGGTAGGGTGATGGTGTCTTCTCACGTTTCCTTTTCATTCCCACTTGATCTTTAACATCTTGTTACAGGTACTTTTAAGCTTTTGCTGAGTCATTCTTTCCATTTCAATTGTCGTTATTGTGTATATGCACTGTTTTCTTGGCTCTGTTTAATTCACTTTGCATCAGTTCACAAAGCCCTTTCCATACTTCTCTGTACTTCTCACACACTTCGTTTCTTATTTACAGTAAGTACGTAGCAGTATTCCATGCCTTTCCTGTTCCATGTCTTGTTGATGAGCATCTACTGTTTCCAAATCATAGATGCCACAAAAAGTGGTGTCATAAGTATTTTGGAATATATATGGACTTTTCGTTATCAGTGGCATCATTGGGTTGTAATGGAATCTTTGTTTTGTAGGCTTTGGGCATTTTTCTTTCCTTCTTTGCGTAATTTTAAATTACTTTCCAAAATGGATGTGTCATTTCACAGCTCCTCCAATAAGTATTAGTATGTGTAAATCCCTACGCCCTTGTTTCGGTATTGAAAACATGTTTGTGCCATGAAAGGAATTTGATAGTACTTCTTCTTTACCTGTTGTTTCAGTTAGTTTATGTAGTAGTGGGATGAAATGTTTTTAAATGTTCGGTAGAATTCACTTTCACAGTTGATCTAGTCCTGGGAATTTTTTCCTAGGAAACGCATTTATGCCTTGTTCAATATTTTTTTCTTTTAAGATATTGTTATTTATGTATTCTGTTTCCTCTTCTTTTAACATGGGCAGTGTATGTTTTTGTAAGTATTCATCCATTTCATGTAGATTGTCAGTTTTGCTGGCATAGGATTGGGAAAATAACTCCTAAGTGTTGCTTTAATTTCCTCTTCCTTGGTTACGCTTACACTTTTGGTTTTGAGACTGGCAATTTGGTTTTCTTCTTTCTTTTTGTTAATCAAGTTATCCAAAGGTTTATCTGTTTTTATTAGTATTTTCATAAAAGCAGCACGTGCTTTTATTTTATAATTTTACTTTTTAAACATTTTCTTCATCTCACCTTTGATTTCCAATTTGATGTTTAATTGGAGATTTTGTCATTTGTTCTTTTTCTACTTTTGTACATTTTATGCCCAGTTCCTTGATCTGCTCTTTCTCTGTTTTATGGATGTAAGAATTTAGAGATCGAAATTTCCCCTAAGTACTGCTTTGGGAGCATCCCACAAATTTTGATATGTTGCCTCATTGTTGTAATTCCCTTGAATGAAATTATTGGTTGATGCTATGTTTTGTTCTTTGATCCACTCATTCTTTAGGATTGGGTATTTTATTTTCCAATTAATTTTTAATCTCTGTTTCTGCATCTCTGTAATGATATTGCATTGTGGTCTATAAAAGGTGCATTTCCTATTTCTGTTTTTCTGCATTTGGTGATGAGGTTTTTATGCCCTAATATATGTTTATTTTTTCTGAAGTTATCATGTACAGCTGAGAAAAAAGTTATATTCTTTTTTATTTCCATTCACTTTTCTCCAGATTTCTATGCTATCTGACTTTCTGATTTCTTATTCTTTTCCTCTTTTTAACATCTTTTTTGTTATTTTATGCATAGATTTGCTTGATTCTGAGAGGTGAAAGTTGTGGTCACCCGTTGGTATAGTTTTACTGTCTCTGTCCTTCTGCATGTCCTTTAACATTCCCTTTCAGAAGTTGGATACTCTGCCATTTGGTGCATCTTTGGTTAGTATTGATATTATATTATTGTCTATGGTACCTTTTAGCAAGATGTAGTTGCTCTCCCTATCCCTTTGAATTAGGACTATTTCAGCTTTTGGCTTGTCTGAGATCATGATTGCTACCATTGCATTTTATACTTCAGCTAAAGCCCAAGTGTCTGTGAAAGGGCGAGGGGAGTGATTGTCTGCAACTTCAGGGCTTTCACACTGCTGTTTGCAGAGCTAGCTCTGGGGGTCTGAAAGTTTTTGGTGGTTCCAAAGTGATGCATTTGGGGAGAGGTTTGGTCACTGCTTTCCTGGTCTGTGCTCTGAGCCTTACCCAGGAAGAACCCCTGATCCCTTGGGACTCTAATGGATCCTGCTCCTCAGGGTTCCTGCTCCCTTTTGACCAGAAGTGATACTGCCCCTCAGGGCCCTGTTCCTTTGGACTGCTAGTGATACTGTTCCTCAGGATCCCTGATCCCTTGTGACTGAAAATGATCCTGCTCCTCAGGGTCCCTGTTTCCTCTTGCCAGAAAGTTGTCCTCTCTGCCCTTGAACTGTGACCCAGAAGTCTGTATAGGCAATGGAATGTCCAAACAGCTTCCAGGTTTTCCCTTGGGATAGTTGAAGTTTCTCTTGCTGCTGCATACATTCAAGATAGTTTATATTCTCTGTGGTACCACTCCCAGACCCTTGTACCCATCTTACAGAAAGCTACTTGAGGAGTTCCTAACTCAGGTGGGACAACTAGAGCTTTTCCCCAGAGTAGGTGGTGAATTTAGAAAGGACTTGTAGAACTTCAGTGCACTGAGAAGGAGCTCTTTTCTTATCCTTCCCTGGCCTCAAGTCAGCCTCCTGAGCATGGGTTGGCAACAGTCTTCTGGAATCTCTGAATCCCTCCATCTAGGTGGTCCAGTGGTCAGAGTACTGGGCCTGGAGTTAGGAAGATCTGTATTCAAACGCAGCCTCAGGCATTTACTAGTTATGTGACCTTGGGCAAGGCCAAGTCACAGCATACCCAGTCGAGCACTCTTTCCTCTTTCTGCCTGCTCAGGAAGATTGACAGCCCATCTGAATGTGTCTGTGACCTTACAGAGTTGTCTGGGTCACTAAGAGGTTAGATGAGTTTACTGTGGTCATGCTGCTAGCTTGGGTCCAAAGCAGGACTTGAACTCTGAGGCTTCCTGATTCTGAAGCTGGCCCTCTATCCTTAGGCCTCAGAGAATCCGTCACTTCCATCCAGACAGAGTTCAAGCACGGTCTATTCCATGAAGCCTTCCTTGTTTCCAGCTGCTAGTGGCCTGGCTCCCAGACTACCTTGTACTTTTCCTTTATTTGCATTTATTTCCCATATACTTTTATTTATTTTCGGTCTCATTAGAATGTAAGCTTCTAGTGGTTAGGGACTGTAGAGGGGCAAGGCATGTGTTGAGGTTGTCATTGTGGAAAGTATT